TCTCTCTTGATCGTTCGCTCTGGCTTCCCCTCTGTGTGCGGTGTTGTGCCTGAAGACGTGGAGCGTTCCATTCACACTCGGCCCAAAAGAGGGAATAGGTGAGTTCACGCGGCTTAGCGAGTGCACCCACTCTCCCTCCCTCCCTCCCTCCCTCCCTCCCTCTCCCTCTCTCCCTCTCCCCCTCTCCCCCTCTCCCTCCCACCCACCCTCTCTCTTAGCGGTGTTGTGCACGAAGAGGTGGAGGGTCCCGTTCACGCTTGGCCCCAAAACCAAATAGTTGGGTTTCTCCGGACGTATGTGAAGTGCACCTGCTCTCTCTGTCCCCCTCCGCCCTGCATTCCTCCTCCTCTCCTCCCAACATCTACGTTTAGGGCTGCAACTCCATTTTGTGTGGGGTGCCATGTTGCAAGTGGGACTGGATGTTTGCACTGCAGCTCTCGGAAGGGGTAGGTGGGGATCATGCCATGTATGCGGAGAGGCAGGGGGAGAAGGAACACTAGGGGGAGATAAAGTGCCTGGTCATGCAGGGAGGAGAAGGTCTATTGAAATCTTGAGAAGCTGGAGTAGAGGGCGAAGGGGGAGGGGGAGGATGTGGGATCAGGAGGATGAGAGAGTCGGTATTTGGTCGGTCAGGACAGGGTGCGACCACAGAAGAAGCCGAAGGAGAGTCATCGTGGTAGGGTGAAGCATGCAGGGTAAGTTTGCCGGCGTTAAAGAGGTTGGGGAGGAGGAAGACGTTGAGGAGGGTCCTAAAGTAAATGGGGGGAGGATCTACGTCGGGGATCCAATTTGCGGAGAAGGGGATGGGCAGCGCGGATTGGGAGAGGGCTAATCAGGATGTTGGATCGAGAGGAGGAGGAGGTTGGAATGTCAGCCAATCAGGGTGAGGATGTAGGAACCAATGAAGTGCAGGGGAAAGAAGGTCAAGGCAACAGGCTAAGGAATGCAGGTCGTGTAAGAGGATCCAGACAAGGTGGGGAAGAAGAGATTGCAAGGCAGGAAGAGGATCTCAGAGCGGAGGGGAGGGAACAGGTAAGGGAAGGAATAGGGTAAATGTAGATATGCAGGTGATGGAGAGAGAGCAATGGACAGAGAAAGAGCGACAGAGGGAGGAAAAGAGGACAGGACATATCAGATCTGCAGGGGCCACACCAAGTAATGGAGGAGCAGGAGCTCAATGAGGATCCTAACGGAGGAGAAGAAGGCATGGAGAAAGACGGGAAGATATAAGCGGTTAACAGGGACCCCCACTTTTCAGAGAGGCG